TTTTGTAAGGCACATATTAGAAACTCATCTTATAATCATAATATTATGTAAAATTATAAATTTATAATTATAATATATTATTAAATAAATAATATAATATAAGTTTAAATAAATCTTGAATAAAAAAATTAATTATATAATAATAAATCATATTATATACTCATAATACCATAAAACATTATAATTATAACATTTTAAACTTTTTTATTTAAATAAATCAACAAATGCAAATGGTGTACTCTGGTAAGTATAATTGAATTTTAAATTATAATTGTTTATTTTTTATGAATTATATGTTTGAATTTCATAAAAACTCTTCCTCTCATCATCGTTAATTAATTTGTAATTAACTATAATATATTTAAAAAAAAATAAATCAATCAATCAATGCAAAATAACGAAATGAACCTCAATAAAATCCAGAAAACGAAATTTCTCTGTCTTTTCCCTAACTGTCCTCTTTCATCAGAAATTATAACATTTTCGATTTTTCCTATCCAAATAAATCAATCAATGCAAAACAATGAACTGAACCTCAATAAAATCCAGAAAACGAAATTTCTCTTTCATCAGAGCCCATTCTTCATTTCTTCATTTCTTCCTGTCTGATACGGACAACCAGTCCGTAGACAGCCAAGTAAATAAAAGTGATATGTTCTCCGCCACATTTCATCAGATCCTTCCGCCGTTGTTTTCTTTTCACATCATCCAATCGTTTTGCCACGTAATATTACTTTTAGGGGGATGTGATAAGGATAATTATTTTTTTATCATATTTTTTTAATATAATTTTTATATATTATTAAATAAATAAATTTATTTAATATTATAAATTTTATATAAATTAAAAAAATTAATTATTTTAATAACATACTGTAAAAAAAAAAAACAAAAAATTATATAAAAATCATTTCTTTTAGTCTCATGTTCAAGTTAGCACATGCGGGTCCCAGCTTTCTCCGCAGCAGAATATTCGATTCATGTTGAGAATAATGCCCTCCGGATATTCTCGTATATGCTTTCCCTTCCGACGCCGGCCGATTTTAATGGCAGCCTAGTGGATTGACTGTAATGCCCCCCTATGCGTGGTAAACGGATTTTCCTCACGAAATGTTGGTGGACCAAAATGCCCTCTTCAATGAATTAGTTGCATCATGGGCCCGCAATGATGGGGGCTGTGTAAGGTCGGTCGATGGGGTTTTTCACGTGGCCGATTGACGGTTGAGATTTAACATCCTTCCTAAATCGTGGGGAAGGAATTTGATGGGTCTGGTCCCATTCTGACTTCCTTTGAAAATGCATGTTTTAATTTTAATATATTTTTATAGTTTAATAAAAAATAATCACTAGTACTAACTAAACAAATTTATTTAGTGATAATATTATAAAGTTTTTTTAATATATGTATTA